GTACATGAGGTCACAGGTCAAGGATGGAGCACAAATCATGAAATGGTTCCACATTCTGGATGCAGCGACTCAAAAGGCCCTGTAACCCCAACATTCGTATATGGACATTAGGACAAAGAGAAAAGATGTATTATTTGACCATAAGGTCCTCTCACACTCACGGAAAGTTACCTGATCAGCTATATAAGGTGGGGCAAGACCATTAAGTGTTTTAAAAGTGAACAAAAACAGTTTAAAATTAATTCTAAAACGGACTGGAAGCCAGCTAAACGTGCATCAAATAAATTTCACTTTGCTTACAGCTTTATTTTGTATCCTGTGCAGTGATCTGGTAGCCTGTTGAATATATTTGGAACAGTGATCATTATGCTTCAACATCAGTCATTATATTAATCCTGGTCAGGATGTACTGTATTTATTTTAAAACTAATAACCTATAATGACTGTTATCTTGTGGCATTAGTTGCTGTTCTAAATCTGGCTGTTTAATGATTCAGATGTCAGCTTGTGTGTGTGTACTGTACGTATGAGAGAAAATTTAGTTGGTTTAGTATTTGACTGTGATTCATCGTTTGCTCTGATCCATTGTCGTCAATTGGTACCTGAGTGTAGAGGTGACTGGTCAGAAGATACTTTGTCCTGCTGTAAAACTGTCTCTAAGTATTGTTTCCATCCATCCATCATCTTTTACCCGTTTATTCCATTTTGGGTCACGGGGTTCGCCGGTGCCCATGTCCAGCTATCACAGTGCGAGGGACAGGTCGCAAGTCCGTATTGTTCCCATACAACAAGAAAATGTTTCTATGCATTTGACCAATCACACACAAAAAAAAATCATTTGTTTTAACACAGAAAATATAGTTTAGTTGCACTGCTTTGGAACTTGCAAAAAAAGGTAAAAATAAAAGTAAAAACTGTGATTAAATCATGATAGTGATTTCACAAAAAGAAGGATTTTTGATACATCACAAAACAGACTTTCGACTAAAATGTTTCCATTTATGATCAGCTGACATGTAATGATGATGATCTGTCAAACCAAACAGTTCAGCCCTTCTCTAAAGCTTTCTACGTACTTTGCAAGTGGAAAGAAATGTGTTCTTGCTCACGTGGTTGTGAACTTTTTGTACGGTTATGACAATGTATTATTTAACGGCCTTGGCCAGCTACTCCTCAGCAGAGCAGAAATTAAACGGTGTACTTCATCCACTTTCCAGTGATTCCCCTACCATTAGCCAAGGAGGGTGCCCCGCCCCGCCAAACTGACAATCATCACGCACCAGTGTCAATGAGTGATCAACAGTATTTTGACCGTGTTGCAGAGCATGAATCAGGCTTTACTGTGAGAGACGGAAGGAGATCCTCTCATTGTCCTTTTATCAGTATTGATCTCTTATCTCAAACCTCTGGAGCAGTTAGGTTTACAGTATACTGGAAGTTGTCACAGTGATACACTCCAGTAAAAAGTGAACCAGTATTGTGAGACACCTAAAACCAAGAGTAACGTTCCTGAGACACTATTCTTGTTTCCTTGTGCAACACCAGACACTTTATAACTAGAAGCACACAAAAATGTTGTACATGTTATATAAAGTATAAAAAAAAACTGTCACGATGAGAAGTAATACGCTCCTCACTGTAGCCAACCAATAGGGAGCCAGAGAAAATAAAGTTATAAGCATTTTGTGTACAATATGTACACTACATTGTCAAAAGTATTTGTTCACCCATCCAAATTATCGGAATCACATGTTCCAATCACTTCCATGGCCTCAGGTGTATAAAATGAAGCAGCTAGGCATGCAGACTGTTTTGTGAAAGAATGGGTCGCTCTCGGGAGCTCAGTGAATTCCAGCGTGGAACTGATAGGATGCCACCTATGCATCAAATCCAGTCGTGAAATTTCTTCGCTCCTAAATATTCCAGTCAGCTGTCAGCTGTATTATAAGAAACTGGAAGTGTTTGGGAATGACAGCAACTCAGCCACGAAGTGGTAGACCACGTAAACTGACAGAGCAGGGTCAGTGGATGCTGAAGCGCATAGTGCGAAGAGGTCACCAACTTTCTGCTGAGTCAATCACTACAGAGCTCCAAACTTCATGTGGCCTTCAGATTGGCTCAAGAACTGTGCAGAGAGCTTCATGGAATGGGTTTCCATGGTCAACACTTTAAGGGTTTTTTGTTTAAAGTTTGCTTAAAATTGACTAAATATATATTTTATGGTCATTTAAAAAAAAGTGTATTTCCTCTATTAGTGCATCCTTTGAGTCAACATCCACATCCTCCTCTGTTCTCCAGAGCTCAGAACTGGTGCTTGGTTTTGTTGGCCCAGCCAGAGGGATTCTGGTCCCCCCCACCCAGAGTCAGACCTCCTAGTAGGTGCACTCTTCTTCTTCTTCTTTTTCTAAATCAAATATGATCACCCCTTCATAAACAAAGTCCTCTCTGTCTGGCTCAGACTGTTTGTCTTCTTCATGATCCTCTCCTCTGTCTCAGAGATTCTGACTCAGCGGTTCCGTCCTCCTCTTCGTCTGCAGCTCTGCCAACGTCATGTTAAAAATGTATCATTGTTTTGACTCAAACACACTAAAACTAACTAAACTGAACACTAAACACACTAAAATACACCCCAACTATAAACCCAAGCACACTTAATATCAAATCTCTCAAACCTCATGACTCACTCTCACTGTGACTTTAATGCGCCAAACTCCATTCAATTTCTGCGACTTTTTCTTCTTCTTCCTGTAGATGTTTTTGGTGCTTAACAAATAACATGGAGCCTCCGTCAGAAAGGAGAGGTTGTTTATATGTTCAGCAGGGGTGGGAGGTGACAGCGGAGGGTGATGGAGGGGGTGTTTTGTCCCACACGTCTTTGCCGCAGTCTCTCGCTCTAATGCACATCAGATATAATGATTTTCAGAAAAAGACGTGGCGTGGATTTATCTGCTGATACTTGGCCTAAAAACACGACTTAAAAACTGTCGTGCAGTTTAAAGTCTGTACTTTTGTTAAAAATTAAAATGGAGTCTCTGAGAGGCTGTCTTTCCCGCTACAGTGACTGAAATTGGTCATGTGACTATTACATGCAGGTACGTCGATTGACTCCAAAGGGGAAAAAAGTCCGTCAGCGTAGGTAGCGTCAAGACACCTGAGTAGACGGTGATTTCGCTGCCACCTGTTATTCATTTGATTAAATCAAATATTTGTGCTGGTCCTTTGTTTCCGTACTTCATGTATGCTTTTTGAGGATTAAAGATCATATTTTGAGGATTTCTGTAGACAAGTAAAACATGCCAGTTACCCCAAAATAAATACACTAGCAATCTAAATATTTTGTTATATTACCCCAGCTTCACTCACTATTAAAAAAAGTCTTGCATCAACATTATATATATATATATATATATATATATATATATATATATATATATACATGCATATATGCAGTGCCTCTTGGAAACAGAATAAACAGGAAAAAGAAAATAGAGCAGACATATTCTACTTGTTGTTTTGCCATTACAGAGATTTTTGTGCATTATTGTGATTCTTTTAAGCAAAGTTAAAAGAACGCTACGAGTCTGGCAGTTACTGTTTTTGTCTGCTGAAGTGGAACGGCCCTAAAAATAACGAGACCACGGTGCCATTGAGGTGGTAATGAGCCCAAACTAGTGAACACAACAATGGGAGTGGGACAAAAGAGGGCTACACACTGTGTAAGCCTTATATTACACTAAATAACCTGAATCTGTGCATAAAGACATAATGCTCTCAAAGGTCATTTCTTTATTGTATTCTGTCTTTTCATTATCAGACGACTGGGATTTCAGTGTTTTGACATCTGTGGCTTTTTTATTCAAAAATGTTAAAACATATATTTTTATAACCACTATTACATAAAGCAAAAACACAAATGTGATGCTGAAGTTTCAAACTATTATTCCCAGGGGGAGGAGTGATCCTGTAGTTTCAGTGTAAATTCCTACACAACAGGCACGCCCTTACCCATGATAATATAACCCCATTACAATAAAACACAACAATCAACTACCTAATTCACATGTTGGACAAATAGCCACTGAAACTATAAAGGTTGTGGTTTAATTGTACAACTGTGTACTGAAAATGCCTAAAAACTAGTACACAGATTAAAATATATTTTAAAAAAAACAGCTGAATTTCACAGCTAAATAACTTGCAGCATGTGGCTTCAAGCAGAAACATTATTTTAAATAACTCCTAATCTGAGATTTCCCAGAAGACACTGCTCTTAAATGTCATCCAATAAAAACCCAGAGTGAAGAAGACTTAACTTACAGTAAATGACTAACAAGGATCTTTATACGTCAACAACAGAATAAAACCTGGCAACACAAGCAGACGTGTATTTAAGCTGATAGCTGGGATTTCAGACTGAAGAGCAGGAAGTGGATGGGTTTAAACTGCTGCCAGATGGCACACGCACACACACACGCAAAATAAATAAATAAATAAAGCAGACAGCCCTTTGAAGTCCAGTAGTCTCAGGTTTTAAATTGGATCAGGATATTATATGAACAACCAAGAAATCACTCAGGCTTTCAAGAAAGGCCTCATGGCAAATCACATAAATACATATTTAACAACCTGCTTAGAAAGTCTAACTAAAAGTATAAACGGAACTGTATTTAATTACTTTATATAACAAATACAGTGTTACACAACTTTAATCAATTAGAAAACCTATTCCTCAGCTCGTCTTAGTAGCTCCGAGGAACAAAGTAGATCCCAGTAAAACTTGTTAGCTAACCGAGCGGCTCCAACTTCAAGCCGCTTCAAACTTCAAAGCTGTTCAACAGAGATAAACTCCGAGCGATAAACTTTTAACTTTTCTTTTTTGTTGTTTTTTTTTAACTCGACGACAAAGGTAAGTGCGCGGCTAACGTCCACGGCTGACCGCTCCGCGGAACAATCCACAGGAGTCAAAGCAGCTCCGCGTCGCGTTCGTCGGGAAAACTAACCTGTCAGGAGAGTCAGCGCCGCGAAGAAGAGTCGGGGCGGCGAAGCCTCCATTCTGCTTGGAGCGATTCCAGCGGGTCTTTCGACAAACTTGTTCCAAGAAGTTGCGTCGGTATCGAGTGAAACGCGAGCACCTCTCGGCTCCACCAAAGCATCCACGCTCCACTCCGCCTCCTCCTCCCGCCGCCGCTCTGCGTGCAGGTGCACAGCGGAGCTCCGCGTCACGTGACGGACCGGCCTCCACTCAGTTGGAGGGACGTCAGCGCCCCCTGCCGGCCAATACTCGCTACTGCACAGGTGCGTCTCAATTAGAATAGTCATATAAATGGACTGCACTTGTACAGCACCTTTCTACATCTAATCCAGATACTCGAAGCTCTTTACAACAATCTGTGCCTCATTTACCCGTTCATACAGCTCTATACTAGATCTGTGCAAAGACTAATCAGAGCTTGATCACATTCATGCACCGAGGCAATGAGGGGTTCAACGTCATGCCCAAGGACACTTCGGCATGTGACTGCTGGTGGACTCAAACCCCCAACTCTTGCATTGGAGGACGACTGCTCTAACCACTCAGCCACAGATGCCCCAATTGTCAAAAAGTTATCATTGGTTCATATGACCTGACTGAAAAATGTTGGATTGTATACCTGGATTATTGAGCATGGACTTTGTTGTTTTCAACCAGTTTGGCACGACTGTCAACAAGGAAGAGGGCCGGCAATGGAGGAGGCAGGCGTACCAAAGAGACCATCTTATCACAAGCAGAACTGGTTTGTTCCACTTCGGAGTAAGCTGTTGGGGTAAGAATCGGTTTTGTTGTGCGTTTCCTTGACTGATGAAGCCTTCTGGATCGAAGGCGAAACGTTTCAGCACAAAAAAAAGAAACAGTCCAGATGACCGGACTGAAAAATGTTGGATTGGTTCATATGATTTGTCTCTTAATGTGTCCTCTAACGGCCCCGTCCAGGGAGGTTGTCTCCAGTCCTGTGGGTCTTCTGAACAATCTGTCACTACAGGAACATCAAGCTGCTTGGAGCTGTGTTGACATGCTGCTCAATCATGTTTCTCTAAGCTCCTGAGACAAATCTGTCCACAGCGTCCTGCGCTCCATGTTCAGTGTGGTACACACCACGATACCAAACAGCACAGTGACTACCTGTCACCCTTTAAATAGGAACACTGATTAAACGATTGAACACACCTGAGATGCTGATTGCAGGACACACCAAGTGCTGTGGCTCAATTCTGAACCTTTGCTCGGATCGTTTATTTGTGGTCATTCACATTCTCACTGAAATGCGACGTCCATCAGACTCCAGTGTGAACCGTTTAGTTTGGAGGTGACCTGCATGCGCAGAAAGCATGACGTCACACGCAGGGCCTGAAAATATTTACCTCATTTTGTATTTTGCTTTGTGTGTTACCTGTTGTTTTGTCTGTACAGCACTTTGGTTGGCCTTGTCGCTGTTTTAAGTGCTCTATAAATAAAGTGGTATAAGCCACGCCCACTAAATTTAAAAAGAAAATAAATTTGTACATATATAGGCCGCATTCGTCTATAAGTCGCGGGTCTCTGTGTTGTAACACGAGATATTTACACAAAGATTTTTGTAACTTTTAATTAAATATGTACAGTAGTTTTAATGTGAACAATGCTGGTAACAAGGCTGGAAGAAAAAATAAACATCAAATACAAAATCCCACCAGGAAGTCATTGAGTGATCTTCATCCTGTGACCTGTTCGGTATTTTCACTGGTCAGATTATTTTTAACCGTTATTTATACAGGTAGTCTCATGGAGTCACGAGGACCCACCCTGCAAGAGACGGGCAGCTGTGCGAGCACCCGGGTGCGATGAGGCGAAAAGTTTTGGCAGCAAGATCGTTAGTCCGTCAAAACATAAATAAATCCAAAATTAGCCGCAGCATCGTATAAGCCGCGGTGTTCAAAGCGTGTGAATAAAGTAGAGGCGTATAATCTAGAAATTACAAACTAAATCTGCCATGTTGCACAGGGACCAAAAGAAAAGACTAAAGCTCAGATTCAGGCCACATTAGGCTGCAGAGTGAATGTAGCCTCACGTCAACAGTCCCTGTTTATAAAGACCAATGAAGCAGGAGGGCACCGATAATCTGCCGGACGAGTTATCGGCCCCCGATTTCCTTAATTTTGGGAAATCGCCTGAAACTTGCACGAGAAAACGATTTTTTTTAGTTTTACCAACAATTGTCTGAACTTCATTTATATTTCAGAGCACGACCTCATGGCCGGTTAAAACAAGTTTGTATTGTTTCTAGGATGTTGTTCAAGGAGATGTTTTACAAATAAATAGTGGACAATTGAAGGTGCATTGTGACCTTATAACACCGGAGTGTCGATTATTAAACAGAATTGGCAGGTCAGACTTTTAGAAATCGGTGATCGACCAGAAAACTGCAGTCGGTGCAGCCGTACAATAAAGTTTCATTTCAGATTTCTGCAGCAGTCGTTTAGATACTTCCACTGACAACATTTAAATTTGCACGTAAACACCAAATAAACCATCTGTTGCGATGCTTGGAAATGTTTAATAAAACGTGATAACTTTAAGTCTATACATTTGGAAACAAAACCTCTGAATAAATAAAACATTTCATCACAAAGGACATCAGGTGGTACACATGAACGTCTCCTGTAGTAAAAAATACAGTACATCAAAATTACAAGCGTGGTACTCCAATTTCACCTTCTAATTTAGTACAAGTGATCTATTTCAACTATAACAAAAAGGTCTAAAGTGCAAAAAGACTTTATCAAAAACAACATTTAAGTTATAAAAATTGATGTAAAAAATTATTAGTCAGTCGTTAAAGTTTTCTTCAGGTGTAATGTCCAGTGTGAACAACAAGCACCGTGGTTCCTAACTGTAACAATGCGCCAGGTTTTGGTTCGTGTCCCAGTATTCAGGGGCCCGGCCATAAACCGGAGGGATCCAAAGGTTATGCCTGGAGGAATGGGGGCCTCTGCTGTGAGGCCTGTAGCCATAGTGGGGCCGAGGGGGGCCGACACCTTTACCTGGCGTCAGCTTCTTAGGCTGCCATGACGGAGCTGCCGGATTCATGACCTTAAAGAGAGAAGACAAATGAAAAAGTGCTCAAATGAATAAAAGAAGACAAACAAAACAATGTCAGGTTTATTTATGAATCCTATCACAAAACGAATGTAACGAGACAGAAACACCCTTCGACGCTCCACAGACTGTGCAGCGTTTCTCAACATGTGAAGATCTGGGTCTAAAACTCCGGCACGAAAAGTTGCACGCTCTACAAACGATACAAAGAAATGTGCTTTAGCAGGTTTTGTTGAATGTTTGAGGTCAAATTAAAGAGTTTAAATTAAAACTTCACTTTAACAACAAGGATCATTCTGAAACTGTCAGAAAGCAACGACTGGATGTGATCATCTTTTAAACTTTTATAAATACTTGTGCAGTGTCAGCCACTTCTTTAATCGAATAACTAATCAGAAGAATTTTAAGAATTTAATCTTCACGGATAATTCATGAGTTAACTTTTACAATATTACGTATAGATGCAGATCCTGCTTTAAACTGTGGTTAAATGTGCTTTTTTTTTTTCCAGTCTCTTCTACAGATTTATGATTTCTGCCTTTGAAGTGTTGCAGGTCTTACAGCTGTTGGACAGTTCGCCTCACGCCGTTTGTACACATCATCATCATCATCATTTATATTCAAAGGATGATGCCACGTTTTCATCAAAAACCCAAGTCTGTCCAAACATAGATGGGTTTATTTTTAAATGGTTTCAGATTTTAAAAAGCCACAACAAGCTAAGCTAACGCGATAACAACCAATCCAGAGGTGTCCAGTGATCAGTACCTGAGGAGCCCAACGCCTGTTGTGGATCGTGAGGGGGGATGCGTGTGTGCTTTCCTCATCAGAAGAGGAGCCAGAGTGGTAGTCTGACGTCACCCTCTCCAGAGCACTAGTCACCTTCTTCGCAACATCTTTGTCATCTTCATCATCGCTGCTGAAAGAGGCGACTGAGAAGCAAGGGTTCTGCTCTCCGTACCTGGCAACAGAAGAGACGAGAAGGTCGTCGGCTGCTGTTTCTTAGGATCACAGACGAGTTTGTTGTCAGAAAGCATGGACCCCAACAGATATTGGCTAAGTTTTAAAAGTCAAGTCAAATTTATTTATAGAGCACATTTAAAACCGTAAGTGTTCACAGTCAGCTAGTGCTCTGAGCAAGTGTTGTGAATGACCGTCAGCAGCGATCACACAAAACATGTAAAGTTATCACCATGTCTCACCTGCAACAAACCTCTCCGGGGTCCACCCACAGCGTGAGTTCACGAGGCAGTCCCAGGTCGCCATACTTCACCCCGCTCTCCCGGCTGGCTCGAAGGAGCTCTGGATCCTGCCTCTGGAACCGGTTCACTCGAATGCACCTGTAAATTAAAAATCAGGTTTGTTCATTTACATCCCAGAGGATCCTCGCTTAGAGCCGTTCTGCAGCATCACAAAAGACAAACACCTGTACGCCTGCCCTTTGCTGGGGTTTTCAGGGTACCAGTGTCCCTTGAACTTCTCCTGTAGCGCAATGGCCAGTCGCTCCACAAACAGCTCGATCTTGTGAGATTCCAACTTCTCCCCCTTTTTCACAAGGCTCTTCAGAAAGAAAACCACTGCTGCTATCTCCTTCCTCATATTTCACACGTGTTTCATAACGAAAAGAAGCTTCTGCAAGGACAGAAAATACAGTCAGGCCAAACTGCTAAAACGTCTTAAATAATGAGAGCATCAGTGATAAATTAACTTGCATTAAGAACATTTCCTATGGTTTTTTTTGTTCGCTATGCTCAAGACATTTTGACTTGTTTATTTTATATACAGTTGGCTTTGAGACGTGCAGAACAAATTAAAAAAGTTCATACTCATACAAAATATCTGGTTAGCAAAAAAGTAATTCAAATGAGCAGGAAAAATGAGCTAAAAGGGTAGCTGAATTGGCAAAAATAAAAGCTGAAATAGTTTGAAAGGAGAAAAAAAAACAATTATAAAGAAACAAAAAGGAAAAACCTACTGGTTTATTAAAAAAGCAGCAAAAAAGGGCAACACTGAGCAGAAAAACACCTGCAAAGTAGCTGAAAAAGCAGAAAGATGTTGAAAGAACAAAAAAAAAGCTCAAATTAGCAGAAAAAAGAATCAGAAAGGAGCTGAAATGAGCTGAAAGGAGCTGAAAGGAGCTGAAAGAAGCTGAAAGAAGCTGAAAGGAGCTGAAAGAATCAGAAAGGAGCTGAAAGGAGCTGAAAGAAGCTGAAAGGAGCTGAAAGAAGCTGAAAGGAGCTGAAAGGAGCTGAAAGAAGCTGAAAGGAGCTGAAAGAAGCTGAAAGGAGCTGAAAGGAGCTGAACCGTGTAGACGGTTATAAACAGCACAAAGAGCTCCAGTCACTTTCCATGAGGAAAAAACACTCAAAAAGTAAAAAAATGCACAAATACTAAAAGTCAGAGCAGGAATATTCTGATGCATGCTCATAGCTGGAGTGTTCTGAACGTTTTGACTCAGGAATTGTGAAAACTGCGCAAAAACAGCGAAACGTTACGAAAAACATGAAACCGGATCTGCACCGTGTGAACGCTCGATTCACATCAATGGATCCTTGTTGTTATATTTCTGCATCGGTTTATAAATTGATGAAGAGCTCAGTCGTCTCGGAAGGGCGGGCGGTGACGCACGCGCACCGTTTCATCACGCAGCGCCACAACAAGGCTAACTGCGTTCAGCTAACTAGCTAGTTTTCCAGGCTAATACGTAACCGGGACGGATCGGGAAAACGTAAATGAAATTTTGGAATCTGCATGATAAAACTGGAGGTAATCCCACTCCTTGCTGAATAGATTGAAAGAAAAAATCTCGAACGATGACGCAAAGGTTTTAGCACTTGACGACATCGTGCTACATAAAAGCTAACAACAGCCTCATGTTGCTAACACGTTCCACATTAAAACGTATCGCTTGAAAATTGCTATAAGACGTAGTTAAATCCCGATACAAACATTGAAGTTCACATACCACATAAAAATAAGACCAAAAGACATAAACGTAGAATAATTCACCTTTTCAGACGACGACACTCCGAGTGTGGGCTAAAACTGAATGAATAGCGGGATGGAAACAGAAGAGACAACAAAGACTCCACCTACTTTAATATAAGTCCCGCCTTTTCTCTATTTTGATTGGGTAAAAATAAGCCAAGTAGCACGCTCATTGGTCAAGACGAATGTCAGGAAATGAGTGACTCATGCTGCTGTGACTCATTTCTGTTTCAGTGATTGCATCCTTGATTGTAATGCCAGGGCAAAGTATTAATAAAATATTAAAGTATCCAACTCGAACCACGTGTTAACAAAGTGGTCATTTTGATCGAGTTAACTAAATGTTTAATTATTAAATATTATTTAAACTACTCAGTTTAACCACAAGACGGCGCCACTTCACACAAAAGCCACAATCAGACCAATAAGATACAACAGCAAGGAAAAATATGTTCCACTTTATGTTAAACAATCAATGAATTGATTCTGCTTTTAAAGTCAGTAACATTCAGCTTCTCTTAGAACGCAAACATCTCTCCATCCCTGGGATGTTCTCTCTCACACACAGATAACCCCACACAACTATTTAACATCCAGACTACTTTAAATACAGAAGTGGTGTCTTAATTATATTTGAAGTATATAAATGTACCTCAAATATAGAGGTATGGTTAGAAAATAAATTCTTAGGAGCCATTTTCTAAGATCTCTTTTGGAAAATGGCTCCTAAGAATTTATTTAAGTACAATAAACGTGCCAGAACATGGTGATGATGTCATTTCATTTTATTGAAAAACAAGTAAACAAACAAAAAAAACTCAAGCACATATCACACACGTATAAGGTCCATTAAACCCAATAAATAGAATGCGAAACATCAAACACAAACTCATCGGTGATCAAAATGAAAAACAACAGCCGCGCCACAGTGGATGTGAAAGTGCAACAGATACGCCAACATTTTAGGTAAATGAAAATGAGACCACAAATATGAGCCGACTAAAGATTCGGCACCTGGTTCTCCTGCTGAGCCGAGACAGGACCAGACATGTTCTAACAGCACACGGCATTCACCGAGAAAAAAAAACATGCCAACGAAACGAACAAACATTTTACGATTTGGAAATTTGCCAACTAGTCAAAATATCCACAACCACTCAAGCATACTGGAAACATTTATACAAATAAAACCGTGATGAACATTTCAAATGGAGCTATATCACTTTTTTAAGACCCTAAAAAGGGTCAATTACATCTAATCTCTTACAAAGAGCAAGTTTTCTAAACGACTAACTTCTTCTAACCTTGTTTTTCCTATTTGAAGCTTACAAAACTCTGGTTCTGTTATCTCCTTAGAGGAAAGGTCAAAAAGCAAATATTCTCCCTCAATAAGGCTTCTGATGTTTTTAGTCTGCATCTTGCATAGGGTCCACACTTCTGTCTTCTTCCACAGGCACAGAAGACCAAACTGCCTTGCTCGTATTGCTCAATACACTTGAAAACAATTTCTGCCACACCTTCAAAGCAAAGATCAAACTTATAGATTTTAAAATCAGTTTGGTGTTGCATCATCATCATCCGTTGCCGTCACGTGCTTGTGGTTCATGCAGAACATGCAGAACAAATACACTTTGGTTTGGCAGCATGATTTCATTATCAGTAGTACATGTGTTCCTCTTGACCGTGCTCAGTGAAAAGCCATCCATAAAGCAGTACCCCACGGAGCTGCTGCGGACTAGTTTGTAAATATTGTCCAAAATGTCGAAACGTTTGCAGGGTTTCTCAACTTCCCATCGTGAGACGCACGAGCAATTTTATTGCTTGACTTGTGAACACATCGGAAAAATTTGTGCAACAATTTCTCTCAGAAAAGTCACAGAATCGTCACGTGGATTCGAGCCGGCCACGGTTTTGTTGCAGGCATCTCCAACCTGGAGCTGGTGCTCTCGTGTGACAAGGGTCTAAAAATCACACTGATCTTAAATAATAAGCACTGAAACACTGGTCCAGATCTCTCCGTGCACACTTCTGATGTGTACCCCAGCACATGGACTCAGAGGTGGGTACAACGTGAGCTGAGGGGGGTGCAGTGTGGGATGCAGAATAATGTGCGTGGCCACAAATACAGTTTTGCAAACTGTATACATGAAAATAGGCTGGGACTTAAAAAAATTAAAATAAAAAAAGTCAAAACGACCCCCTAATAAAAAAACAAAAACATCGTTTTGTTTTTCATTTCTGAGTCTTGGACTAGTCTCCAGCAGTCAGAGCTCAGGGGGATACTACTTTACAAACTTGTGCTTGATGGCTGCATGACAAACACTTTTATATTGAATATCAAGTCAATCCAAACTGCAGTAATATTTACTATAAACACAAAACCTACGCTCCAAATGAAACCTCTTTAAGCCACAGAGGTGTTTTCACTTACAAACCAGCTGCAACTATTTTCTGAATGCTCCCAAAAATATTAACAAAAACAAAATCATAGTTCATAGTTTTTCTAAAATGCACTTTAGTTGTTTAGTTTTTTTGCACTAAAGTTTTGGAGTATACGTTTTGAGCATACTCGTGCTCTCTTCCAGCTTAAAACCCATCTGTAACAATTAAAATGTTTTTATTAAAAATAAAACGTTTGTTAGAATTGTTTTTAAAATTTTCATTAACTTTAGCTAAATGTTGTATCAGGTTGGTTTAGAAAGTCCCAAATATTTTACAGTTTTCATCAACCATCAGGTGAATCATCCTAAAATAAAAATCTGTGTTCACAGCAGCAAAAAACACTGTTCCTCCCAGAAAATGATCCGACAATATCTGGAATAGTGATGACATATTTGAAATTTACTCAACAACCTAATATAAAAAAAATGAAGTAGAAATGTAATGACATTTTTAAAAAGCAATAAGAACAGAATAATTTGAGAGAATAAAAAAGTAAATATTTGAATGAGCAAGCTTCTTCTTCTTCTCTTGTCCGTGAGCCACAGAAGCCATCCAGTTTCAAGGCCAGGAATGTCTGTGCATCCTTTAATTGATTTGCATCCTGGGTGCTTGGGTTGGGTGAAATCCAGGCCACGCGCCAGACTGGCAATTCATTTGTAAACCGCCATAAATCCTTGCACCGTCACTCCAACCATGAAAACACAGAGGGTCAACCAAAGCCCTTAATGCTGCTCTAATGCAGAACTAATAACTCCATGTCATCATGGTGTTGTAGGAGTCAGTCACTGTCCAGCTGCATCCTGCAAGTCCAAGAATTCAACTGAGTCCCAGCAGCAGATTCAGAAAGTTCCTCTTGTAACACGCTGCAGTCTTCCAGCACCTTCTTTATTCCACAGCGCCACCGCTGTTGGTGCTGGCCTTCACACCGGCCCTGCTGATGTGCAACCAGGGCAGTTTGGCACAGTTCTTAAAGAGCTGCTCGATGGCAACGTGACGCACGTGCAGCTCAGACGCCAAGGCATCCTTCTCCTGCACGGCGGCTGTCAGCTCCTCAAAGACCTCTGTGGAGACAAAGAGCAGCAGGTGTCAGCTCCTCGTTCACACACAAGGTCCACTTACAAACAGGAGAACACAACCCGTCTCCTTCTGTAGGAGTAATGAGCAAACAGTTTCACTCATCTAATATAAAACATTAATAATAAACACAACGATGAAGAAGTGTTTCATGTCTTGTGTGCAGCAGTATGAGGTCACCACTGCTGTCATGTTTTACAGTCTGATAGTGTGCGCACGTCTCTGTTGGAGACACATTAAGACGGTCCCCTCTTTTTTCAGCCAAGCCTTTGTAATGTGAGCTGAACGTGGCGTTCATGTTGAAAAATGCATGAACCTTCTCTGGAGAAGGTGCTCTTGGTGCAAATAGTACTTTTCTGCATTAAAGCTGCCATCACAAACTAAAGGAGGGGCATTTCCCACCGCACCAGTACAACCTGTATCAGCCCCAAAGGTAAATGCCTCACTCGTGTGGTTCTGTCAGATGTTGATGTTCTAAGATCAGAGTTTATGGATGTCCAGTTTATCATAAGGACTTTCCATCTGAACTCAGAAGTTGTGATTTCTAAGAGCTTCTAACTGGACAAACAATAAAAGTTTAGATATTATACATGGCTATCAGCTTGCATTGCTGATATTACTTAGCTTGATCAATAATCAGAACAATAAGGGACCCCTGCTGACCCAACATCATGAAACTAGAACACAGATTCAAACATTGAAGCTCACACTCTACTCTTTACACTGAAATTCACTCCAACACCTTCAACCGTGTCATCATTTGCACAAGAGCAAGACAAATATTCCAACTTTAATTTTAAACTATACATTTTAAATACACTCCTATACTTGTTGCCAAACTTTGCCCATTTATCTGCATTAGAAGCATCTTTTATGAAAATGTGGTGGAGGCCTGAAATTAAATAATGTACAATATTTGAGAAAACAGAAATCATATATTCATCCCTTTTGAAATATTGTTGCCTAGCAGCAAGGATGTCTTTGATTCGACTCATGGTCGAGTCCTTTCTGTGAAGTTTGCATGTTCTCCTTGTGGGTTTTCTCTGGGAACTCTGGTTTCCTCTCACGGACAACAAACGTGCGTAAACGTTTAATCGGTGACCCTCAATGGTCTCCAGGGGTGAAGGACGTGAGCAGTTATCTGTATCGTCTTCTCTGTCTGGCCCTGCGATGAAGTGGTGACACCCTGCCTTTCAACTAGTGACCACTGGAGACAGACGCCAGGGGCCTCATGTACGAAACAAAATGGCTGCACGTGCCATGTTCCACACACGCGCTGGGACGTATCCAAATGAGCGTTGAATGAAAGTGTGTAAATATACAAACACTACTGACCTGCTGTTAGAATGTGTGCACTGCCACAGTCCACAGCATCAAATTTTAAAGTACTGCAATTTCTGGACTATAGAGTGCACCTGAATACAAAAAATAATAAACAAAAAAATAAGCCGCGGTTGTCCATGTTATAACAAGATATTTACACAGAAAGATTTTTAAAAACTTTTAATTAAACCAGTTACATTGCTAAGATCATCTTCCTCCCGTGCACTAAAATCACTAAAGTCATCTTGAGTGTCAGAATTGAACAGCCTCAGAAAAACTTCGTCACACGTCCCCAGTCTCTCTTTTGTTGTCGAAAAAATACATTCGTCTACCAGGAAGTCATTGATCGCTATATTCATATTCCTCCTGCTGCGAGTTTGCGCTCTGTGGAGCAAAAGATGCTCTGCGCGTGGAAGGATTCCCACTCTCCCCATTTCATTGGCCTCCGCTCCCCGTTTCACTGGTTCGACTGGGACCTGTTCGGTAATTTCACTGATCTTTTTGTTGTTGGACCCACCCCCCAACAGAGATGTGTATTGGGCAGCCACGTGAGCGTTCGGGTGTGACGAAGCCAAATGCTTGTGGTGGCAGGAAGCTCATTAGCCCGTCAAAAAAATAAAAATTAATCCATAAATTAGCCGCAGCATTGTATAAGCTGTGGCGTTCAAAGCCTGTGAAAAAAGTAGCAGCTTATAGACCGGAAATTATGGTACTTGAACTGAGCTAAATACACCAAAATGTGACTACATTTGGTCCTCTGAACAGTATTTACGCACACTTTTCATTATGGTTTAAAGGTGAACGATGAACTACATTTAGCCTCATACCACACAACAGGCCTGTGGATGTAAACCAGCATCAGTGAGCGCACAGTGGCGAGGCGCACAGACAGGAGAGCTGCATAAAATGCATGTGAATCTTCTGCTCTGAGAAGAAAACGATGTGTGATCAGAGTATTATTTCAGAACAAGTCACACGTGATGATCCTCGGGTTAACAAGGTGTAGACTATCACACACACCCATAAATAGCTGTGTGTAGTTGTGGAACAATGGCAGCTTAGGTGCTGCTGGGAGACATCACTGGTGAGGCAGAACTTTTTCAGGGATCGCATGCACAGTTTTTACTACACCCAAAGTTTCAGCGGGGGATTTAAAACAAGAAAACTGTAAAAGGTTTAACATGGACAGAATAAAAACTTTTGCAATTTCTATGGACGGGTTTGTTAAATCAAAATAGTGTTTAAATAAACTTACTCTGAATCTGCTTCAGTAGCTGGCTGTTCAGCTGATGGAGCTCATCCACACTCATTTTAGCCACTGGAAGAGAAGACAATTTTACTCTGAGTGAGAAGGTCCCAGTTATTACCTGTTCCAAGCATAATGCGCAACTGTGAGACCAAAAACACATAAAAAGCTATTTTCTATACACTTTCTGTCTGGCCCTTTGTACTGCTGTATGTGCAATGACAGAGAGAGTGAGGCATCGTTATAACACAGTAATGGACCCAACCCTAATGCACTTGTAAAGGATTTTACATGGTGTGTATTCTTTTAACGTGTTGTGCAGTAATTGGCCTACATTCATCTCTGCTGCGGCCCTGGTGTCCGAGCTGCGTCTGCCCTCCTGATGACTGCTTCCGGCTGTGCACGCCTCTCCTGCCATCACTGGTCCAAGCGTCAGACTGTGACTCATGAAGCAGACCCACGTCCTCTGCTGTTTGACTCTCCAGCATCCTCATTGTGTATTCAGGCAGCCCCGTTGCTTTGCCCCTGTCCCAGCAGGGGGCGTAGCGGGGCACCTGGGCATCAGCCTGCGGCAGCAGCTTGCGGTCACTTTGCTGGCTGTAACAAAGAAGCTTTGGCCCTCGTCGGGGGCAGCCGTTGGAGGAGACAGAGTCTTTGTTCTGGGCAAACTGGATGATACGGTTCAGTTTCTGGCTGAAGGCCAGCTTCATGCCCTCATAGGCACTTCGGGAGACCTTGGAATGGGACAGCTTCTGGTTGGCTATGAGGTGGTACTTCTCAAAGCAGTCTCTGTGGCCACGGAGGGACTTAGAGTGCAACAAGGCAGCAGAGGAGACACCTGCATTCAAACACGCAACAAAAGTAGAACCACTTCAAAAACTGTTCACGTTAACAACAAATTAATTTGAAAAAAAAAAGTGCATTTTTATTGCACAAGAATTTGTGTGTGCAAAGACTGTGTGCAGGTGAAGGAGTACAAATGGAAAATAAATCATTTTAACTTTAAATTGCCTCAGCAAATAAAGGTAAAATGAAACAAAGCTCGAGTCATTGTCATGGTTTTGTGTAAAATGCTTTGCGTTGTGTTGAGATAGCCGACACAGCATATTACGCCTTCACAATAAAATGGAAATATTTAACAATTGTAGACTTTTTTTTAGATCTTTGCTTCTTTTTTTATAATATTTGAATATATTTAAACTGTACTTGTAGCTATAAACAACAAGTACCAAGTATACGATCTTGTGATATGATGAATCTCACACATACAGCGCCTCTTGTTAAGAAGAACCGAAGCATTAACTTGAGTTAGAGACTCAGTGAGACTACGTTCACTGAAGCACTACAGGTGTTTTTGCAGCCAGTACAAATCACACCTAATACAGACAGCTTCAAAATAAACTCTGACTAAACTGGGCCAGTTTTATAAACAAAGGGGAACTCAAGGTGAAAGAACAAGAGTATTTAATCGCACCTCTGTGTGTGTTCGTGCATGAGCGCACGAGACAGCAGAGGAAACTACAGAGCTGCATAGGCGTTCGTGTGGTTTCGTTCTTTCTTCTCATGGCCTACATTTCTCAGCAGACAAGCGTACGTGTTGCAGCATGACGGGAGGAGATTAATCGCTGGTGTTCGTAGATTTAGGGGCTCGTTTCAGCAGTTTACCTTGTGAGCAGAAGTCTGAACTTCCCCAGCACACAGACAAGATTGATCATGGTCATTAACATCACCCAGCGTACTCTTTAGAGTGCAGGACCTTTTAAAGTTATGCACATCACACACAGCTACACAGAAACATGCTAGTTTGTGTTTTGAGTCCAATCTGCACTGACATTTCTACCTGTCCACTAAAGTCTGCCAGCCCCTGCAGCAGGAGAGCACGTACACTCTAGATTTAGAGTCCACATTGTCTGCTTGCGCTGTAGTACACGCTTCTTACATATGAAACGATGATGCCAAACATGTGACACACTAAAAAGACTGCGAGTCAAACCCTTGAGCAGAAGGGGGGAAAAAGAATTGTAGTGGACTAGGCCTCCGACCAAAACCTGCCTCTGAAGACCTTCATGGGACAGGAACTGTTATTTCATTGATTTGAATCCCGAAATACAAATTAGCTCATCCAGAGACTTTCTAATTGTATCCTGAACTAATCAATTGAAAGAACACTCTTCTTTTATATTATCATTACTATTTTACAATATCTTGATAAATCAAAAGTGTGTTTAGTTCATACCATTTTTAAATGTTGAAGTGAACCACTCATTTTAAATCAACTGTGAAACAGTATTTAATGATTTTTTTTAAATGCTCATTTAAATTAGAAATCAAGTTAAATGTCTATTTACAAAGTAATTATGCATTTTTGATCTTCTGTCTGAAATGAGAAGTAGTGATGTCGGTCGAAAGTCAGAAGGGAAGTTATTGGAACGAAGTGTCGTGTTTTTAAAACTCGCAGACAGTAAATAAGAAAACTGGCACCTGTAAGTCTGTCATTTCTCCAAAACATTTCTCTGTCTGTTCCTAAAACATTCCTGCTGTTTTCTTGACTTGTAATGACCCTCTGACATCACTAGAACCACCCCTGTTGGTTGCTTCAACCAATCAGGACGTACTAAAGTGACCGGAAGCAGAACTCTTTAAAAGTCGACACTTCCTGGAACTATTCGCTTCTTGAGTTCTGAAGCTCTAGCAGTTCTGTAGAGTTCTGGAGTTAGTGCGGCAGTTCTGCAGTTCTCAGTCTTCATGGAGTTTTACACTTCTGAGTGGAAACTCTGAAAGGACTCACAGATGCTTGCTGTGAGTCCACCTGGGCATAAATGCCCTACAACTTCGAAGGGAGCTGAGCCTGTTTGTTGAACGGATAAGTGACACGACTTCGGACGATTCTCAGCCATCCTTACCGGAGACGCTGAAAGGTCGCGTTGAAATGGACTCCTGTTCCTGAGCGGAGCCCGGCAAAGGTAACGAGTCGTGACGCGAAGTGTACCGGAGGTGAGCTGGTATTGAAAGGAGCGTGCCATCCTGGTCCGAACAGACACTCCCTTTATACATTTTCCTTCAAACTCTCCCTTTAAACTCCTCCATTTTTCCCATCTTTAAACTTCTATCTTGTCAGTAATTAATCTAGATGTCTTCAGAAATGTCTGTTGTTTTTATTAAGTAAAACGTGCCAAGTTTTATTAATCAGAACCAGATCAACTAATCAAGTGTACAATGTTTTGATGTTAAATTTTGATTCTGTTCAATAAATGACCACATTTATTTTGATGGGTCAAAGAAAATTAACGTCTCATGTCACTGATTAAACCATCTACGCACAGTTACTTCTGTCACATGTCTGTAATTAGCTCAAAAAATAGAGAACCCGCTATTTAAATATAAGTGTAGTGAGGGTACAGCCAAGCTGACCTTAGCACACTACAGAATACAATATTATTTTCAGAGTCAGAGTCTCTTTGTATTTATGTACACAGGGTCCCAGTTACATCCAACCACAGAATGTAAAAGAAAAACAGCAATAAGATCTAAGATATGAACTAAGAAAAACATAAACTAAATATACACTAAGCACTAATGGTATAAAAACGTTACGTCAAACAGCAGAACGAACATGAGTCTGTGTGAGCAGATGAGCACGCATGAACACAGCGACATGAAACAGATCAGCAGCGACATGAAACAGATCAGCAGCAACATGAAACAGATCAGCAGCAACATGAAACAGATCAGCAGCAACATGGTGATTTTTTTCACAGTGATTATTCTAGTTAGAGATTCATGAGTCTAACAGCCTCAGGGTAGAAGCTGTTCCTCAGTCTAGTGGTTCTACACTTAATGCTCCTCAACCTCCTTCCTGAGGGCAAAAAGTGTGTGTGCTGGGTGAGTGTGGTCCTTCATGACGCAGGTGTCCTTCCTCCTGCATCTAGAGGTGTAGATGTCTGTGATGGTGGGGAGGCAGACTCCAACAGACTTCTGTGCAAATACTGAGAAAAGTAACCTGCTTCTATGAACATCTGGATAATTTATCACTCAGGGACCACAAAGACTCTGCTTCTTCTTTGTTTTTGAAGAGAGAATTCAGTTCAGTATATTACTGCCACCTACAGCTCTAGAGCAGGGGTGTCAAACTCACTTACAAAAGGGGGCCAAAATTAAAACCTTTTTCAAACTAAAGCCCCCAGTATACCCCCGCGTACGTCCATACGCAGAGGTACGCACGTACGTATACAGAGAGTGTACCCCCCAGGGCATGTCCGTGCAAAGCTCAATTTTTATGACTGCATACGCGGTGTCACACAACAGACTGTTTTGTATGCGACACCAATGTATTAAATTCCCCTTCTTCATCCCTGATCTGGCCTTTTCTTTTGTGTTTTTTTGCCAAGAGGCAGTGATCTCTTCCTCCTCCATTGATGCCGTGACTGAAATGGTGAGAAATGAAGGAATTTGTCACGAGCGAATTAAACTCAGGTCCAGTGTGGCTGCGGGAGGGTCTGGAGATTTCCTGGTGGGCTGGTCTGATGTGTGGGCTGCAGGGCCAGCACTCCCTGTTTTTTTATTTTATTTTTTAGATTTTTATTAACAACATATAAACATAGAACGCCGCTGTGGCTGAGGCTGCCAGCGCCCGTCCCCCCCCCCCCCCCCCCCTGTCAATCAATCCAGTAGGCGTGTCAGCAAATGACCAATCGGCGACCTCAATTTGTCCCGAAGGTAAACGCCCCTCGTCTGTGGAGCTGCTCTGCAGCTGCTCAGGGTGTACGCTGGAGTACGAAGTCTGAACCCTCTGCGTACAGTACACGCGTACATACGCGTGAACGGACGTACGCGGGAGTATACTGGAGGCTTAAGGGTCGGTTTCAGAATCTACATTAACTCAAGTCAGATGCCAGACATCTTTTCTTGATTGCATTAGGCCTTCGCAGCGCTTCGCTGCTCGGGCCTAAAAATAACATCTTGGGGACCAGATAAGATGTCAACAAGGGCCACATTTGGCCCCCAGGCCTTGACTTTGACATATATGCTCTAGAGAAAAGTTTAGATTCCTGGGGAGGTGCAGTTATTCAGATGAACTATGAACAGGAGCGCACACATGTACAAACAGCTGCCTACACAGACACAGATAAGCATGAACAAACATGTTTCTGCATAACTAAAACATTAATCTTGCTCAGTGGAGTCTCCAGCTGCGTCAGTTCCAAAACAAGTTCTCATTGATCAAGTTCATTTCACTGTTTTTGTCTGAAAAGTTTCATGATTGAAAAGATTTACTGGTAACTGAAACAAAGGCAAAAAAGCTGCATAATAATCATGATAAGATCTGAAAGAAAACACATTAGTTGGTATATATCATCTACTAGGCCCTTATTCTCAGTTTTTCTTTTTTTTATTCTTAGATTTTTTTAATCAAACTTAGTTTTCACGCTTAAACAGCCTAAGTTTTACCAAAAATGTACGTGGTAGCACAAAAGATTTGTCAATTGTTCTATGCCCAAAGTCCTTCCTGAAGCAGCAAAGTTACTGCAGCAGCCCAGAGTAAGCAACTGATACATTTCCTCACATTCTTGTTTTGTAACTTTTTAATAACCTTTGAGTTCACATTAACTGCCTACACAGCATCCAAGCATAACTTTCATTATAGGAGATGTTTATCTGAGAATGATGTAACCAAATTTAAAGAATATCTTCATTACAATTTTCCTCTGTCTTGCAGAGCAATGCAGCAGAAAGCAGCAATCTAGATTATGTTGCTGATAATATTACAGCTTCAATGAAAATATCATTCATTAAATCTGCTCCTCTGAAAAAGAAGGGGAGGGAAGTTTGAGATCGTCA